TGTTAGCTTTAAAATTAAGAATTCCGTTATCTCTACTCATTGCCTTTTAGCTTTGGGGGCCATAGGATGGCAATCGGATGGAAATGATGTAATCGCCACGACTGAAAGCTAAAAGTAGAATTATTGAAGTATTATTTAACGCAGCCCATAGAACAGTGGCAGTGCACCGTAATATATGAAGCAAGTTATTCATCACAAAGGCCGCACCAGGACCAAGCACAGCTCGTATCCAGGCTACATGGACGCGCGTGTCACTCCAGCGAGTCTATCTGGCGGCATCAGAAGGTTTGGGTGCGACGCATCATTGTTACTCAGCAATTGCTGATGAAAATGACCTCGAGGTGCGACCAATTACCTTGTTAAAATTTATTGTCTAATTAATTCGTTAACGTTTATGCTCTTAATTGTCGTTTGTCTCATGTCCGGAGACATAGTCGACGCTTTGTAGCTCGTTCTATAGAGACTATTGCTTTAACCTTACCCGAGTGAAGACCTCTTGCTCAAACAGTATTACTAATTTTGTTAACTCTTACTTACAGTATCTATACCTTAATTTGAGTTTGTGCGAGTGTGTTTTCATTTTATTTTGTTCAATTCATTGCTAGAATTGAACAATTGAAATTCAATGTTCAATGTTAGAACTTCTGTGTTTCGCTCGTTTAATTAAGATCTTGCTTTACCGGCTTTACGCCAGCTAGTGCTTGGAACCCGTAGGGTTATTGGCTCCTTGGAGCTTCGGTGTTAACCGATTATGTCACATGCCTTAGTGCTGTGAATTAACTTGCATGCTTGCATGCGCTTTACTCTCTTTAAGTACGAGCGAACACTCCTATTACTGTTTTCACTATTTTCTTTCTTATAGTTCTCTACATGAGAACTCTTATCTAGGATTCCTCAACGGAAACAAATAGGTTGGTTATTAAGATTATTTGAAACTCTTATCATTATTCTGACTTTATATTATTCTTGAACCATACTGAAATTCATTGCAGTATAACTTTGATTCCATTAATTTTAGGCTTAAGTTGGTTTTCTGTCTTATTCAGACAAGAATCAACCCAACCGCCTCTACTTGGTCTTCAACTCTGCCGTTTCTGATTTTTGAACTGAACTTCTCCTTGCTTAGACGTTCTGTTGCCACCGGCAATATATGGTGAGAATTGGAGAGAGAGACATATTCACCCCGAAACAGTGACTCATTCAACTGAAATTAAATATTGTGTTCTAGACTCCTAACGTTCAACTTGTACTTATGTGCGATCCTATTCTATTACAGTGCACGAGTTCCTCATCGCGCTTCGTGCTTCTAGTTTCCTCCTGGCTTCGTTTTGCGAACCAATTCTCTTTTCGGAACCACAACAATAAAAGTTTCAACGTGTTCTTTGTTCTTTAATTTCCAATTGTACCAAAATTCAATAACCTTCCTGTTCGCCTTCATTACAGATTGGGACTTTCATCACCTTCAACCAAAATGTCCGGCAACGGGACATTTTGGTGTTGTCATTGAAGTAATTATAGCGCCCGCTAACCGTTGGCTTGTGACCGCTGGTATATTGTGTTCGAGTTCTCTATTCTCGTGGTAACGGTGCTCTATGGGCCCTGAATCAACCGGGGGATTTGACAATTTCATTGATGACTTAGGCTAAAGTTAAATGGTCGGTCTCAAGGTATTTTGTTCAATGTTTTCTGAAAAGTACTTTTCTCAGCGAGTGCGGAATCATAACAAACCAACTTCAATAATCAGAAAACTGTTCCAATATTTCCTTATTTAATTGTTCTGCTGATTGTTCCTCTCTTTGATAATAAGCTGTGTATTAAGTAGGTTTGCTTCAAAATATATTATAAATTCATGATAATTTTCCACATTTTACGTACCTTTTTTATATGGAGGTCCCATCTCTGACACGTAGCTTGAATTGCCAAAAATATATTTTAACGAATTAAAATAGTTAATTCAGAAAGTAATAACCATAATAAAAAATTAATATTAAATTCTTTGATGAATGTTAATAAAAAACGTATCTTCTTGAGGTAACGCAACAAAAAATAAATCATTTAACGATACATAATTTAATTCCGTCATAATATTTTTATTTTTTTACTGTTAACCAACATGGATCATAATAACGTAATTACCTCACGTAACTTGCGGTAACCGGAAATTTTCCTGAAAACGTCGATCATACAATTTCTTTTAGCTATGAATTTTGTTTCGATCCTGTAAGCGCTAGAAGCAATGTCACCGCGATTAATGGGGCAACGGTTTATAGACGTGATTAAACGCTTGCCCTCCTCGAGTGCAGGCAACGCACCAATAGCAGTAGTAAGCGCCGCGCTCTAATATTATCCTCAATTATGTTCAGTTTTAAAGAACTTTCTTGTATACGAGCGAAGAGGCAAATTGTCGTAAATTGCGATGGGGCGTTAACATCAAATTATGAAGCCTTATTACTTGAAAAACAATAAACTGATAATACATATAATGATAAGAATCAGATAAAAATCAGTCTACCTAGTCGTTTTTGTACCTTCTACAAAAAAAACTATTCGTAAAACCCTCTATAAAGCTGCCGCACGCAATAATCATATTCAACTGTGTTGCACATAATATGGTATAATTAAAATTGGAAAAGCGGAAAAGTTTTCATCTATTTAATTTGAGAGATTATAAAGTAGAGATATAGATAATACTCAGGAGCCACTGATAGTAGCGACAAAAGAATCGCAGCAGCAGCACGAACAACCAAACCAGACAAATACAAATTTTAAACTAGTGATAGTCAGTAAACTAGCAATCTGGAATATGACACTAGCAAGCATAATAGATTTAAATCAAGAGCTGACTTAAATGATAATTTCTAATATTATGACGACTAATTGACCAACGTATCTTTCTGGCAAAATCATAAATAAGTATGAAAATGTACGATAAAAGAACGGGGATGATTACGTCAAAGGGGAACTAAAACCTAAATTAGACAATTAATTTTTTACTAATAAATTACGTGTATCACCGCGTTTCTTTACAGCGTAATTGTTTCAATGCTATCAAATATTGATAGAAGATTGGCTTGTGTTCGACGGGTTGTCTCCTAAACTTGGTTAGCTTTAACCGGTATTTACGTACTTCTGCAACAGCGATGGTTGTTGGTAAATCAGTAACACAGCCGCAGCCGTTTCGGATATATACATATATAGATTATACCCATCTATGTGGGGTTTGCACTATTTGTCTGTGTGTAGGTGGGTGGTCGCACAGGTAGTGGCATGGGTGTTCTGTGTTGTTTATGGCCGCAGCTATGAACTGTGTTCCTCTCATGTCGAGGTGTTCTTTTATGGGAAGTATTATTGTTTCGGCATGAAGGTGTTCGATGGCGGTGCTTTGTGTGCAGCCTGTGACTATAATGAGTGTTTTGTTTTGTAGTGTTTGGAGTTTCTGTATGTTTGTGTTGTTAGTGCGGGCGCCCAGGCGGGGCTGGCATATGCCATCACTGTTCTGATGAATTGTTTGTATGTGGGTGCTAGTGTTTCTTTGTCTTTGCCAAATTTGGTGCCGCCTAGGGACCTGTCATGATAAAGAACTAGTACGACACGTCGTGTAGCAAGTTGTAATGCGGTCGGGCTCCGACTATATAGTGTTGTCAGTCTCTATGCAATAGCCAGTACGAACGGGCCTGACTCCTGCTGTTTCATGATGTAAGTGCAACGTTCCTTACCTTTACGAATCTTACTTGTTAACTGTTATATATTTCCTCTGTTACTGTTATGTTTTATTGTTCCGTGTTGCGTTTATAAGTATTTTACATTAGTTGTTGTGTTTCCAGGTAACTGGGCATTTGTTCAGTAAAGCTTGGATTGCCCAAGTTTACTCGATCCTTGATCCCTCAACAGGACCGAAGTGAGTTGTATTAGTCTGATGTTTGGGTTGTTCACTATGTTGTTGATGTGAGGGCCAAATGTCATGGAGGTGTTGTAGGTGATCCCTAATATTTTTGTTTCCAGTGTGTGTGAAATGAAGTAGACTTGATATGACAGCGAAAACAGAATTGTGCTTTCAATCTGTTAACATGGTTTTTACGTGTTGACAGTGAAAACCTGTACGAATAGGCTTCTGTATTCTATGGTTTCAGGCGCCAGCCTGAGCAGGTAACCCGCACGCTGGCAACCTGCTTTCACTGTGTGCGTACCCTTACGCGGGCGTCTCGTCAACGCATCTCGGACTTGATCTACCCTAATACATCCGCGAAACACATTGCTCTTTTGACTGACTAAACAGATTACAAGAGGCGCAGAACAGGCACAGCAGGCACAGAACTGACTGAGCAGGCACAGAACTGACTGAGCAGGCACAGAACCTACAGAGCCGGCACAGAACATATAGAGCAGGCACAGATCATACAGAGCAGGCACAGATCATACAGAGCAGGCACAGATCATACAGAGCAGGCACATAACATACAGAGCAGGCACAGATCATACAGAGCAGGCACAGAACAAGCACAGAGAAGTCACAGAACTGTTAAAGCAGGCACATAAGACACTTAACAGGCACAGATTTCGTCTCAACTGCAGACATTTCTGCTCTTCTTCTGCTATGTCAGTCCCATAGGCGTTGACGGCCAGCTCTGATTCCGCCCGTAAATCTTTCCTTAACTTCAATATTCACCATTGATCAACGATCAAACATTACACGAAATACACGAGCAGTTAAGGACGAATCCATGTCGGGTTTGAGTAAGGGATAAAAAGGCGTGCTAATTGAACGCATTTATTGCTGTCACGAATATAATGTGAGACCTAAAGCAACATAAGAGAAAAGTGCCAGATGAGTAGAATACTCGTCGGGTACGACTCGGTTACATAAAACTTGTGGCGAGTAAGACATGAGTACGTGAATAATGCGCCGCCTGATTTGTTTAAAAGCGGACATCAGGAAGGTGCTGGTGAATACCAGGGCACGGAAGGAGGGAGTTAATTAAACTCTAATTGNCTGAGGCGCCGTCACATCCCTCTCTGAGGCGCAGTCACAACAATTAACTTCAAAAATATGACTTCACAAGACAATGAATTTTAGTTTGTGTGGAATTGTAATCCCCCGCTCGAGGTGAAGGCTGCGGTGATCATGTATGTGATGTTGCTGAGATGGAGGGACGCGTGGGGTGGCGATGGGGGCAAACGGGGCACAATTAGTTCCAGAATGCGAAGGAGAACCCCACCTTGAAGGTCTTGGCCAGCGCCTGGCCGCGCAGAGTGATTGTTGCATTGCCACTTCCGATCTGCGGGAAACAGTCACATTAAGTCGTGTTCAAGGCGACACTATTTTGTTGTCCTAAATAAAAGGCCAACGCTGGCCTAGGATCATTAGGTCTACAGTTTAAATTCACTTTATATGCATTATTTTTATAATACAGTTTGCGGTTAAATTATTAATTATAGAGGATTTTTGAAATTATTATTATAATTCTTGTATTTACTGACGATACTTATGGAACGGAAACCAAATTATTTGATTCGGCTCGATCTAGTTTGCTTGCATGGAGGATGAAGAAATGGACTTCCTCGTGCTGATTTAGTGGAGGTAAATTATTAAGTTGAACCGAAACTAGGACTGAAGTTCAGAAGGACCCTCTGGGAGTTACGATGAATAAGTTTAATTCAAGGCATCGGTGCACTATTTCTCAAATCAATATGTTATATCTCTTCTGGAAAGAATCATAAGAGAACCTAATAAAAGAAAACCAAGATAGACACGGACAGCAAAAACCCTCCCTTTCACTGACCTTAATATCAGTGCAGATATCTTCGTCGAGCGTGGTACCGTCAGTAACGCGCAGCGAGTAGCCGTCGCAGGCAGCGGCAGTATCGAAATATTTTCCATAAAATATATACCCAAATGTAGAAGAGGTTGATGTGAAAGCAACGGTGCAGTTGTAGGCCGGACCGTCGGGGAATGCCTTGCACCCGAATCCGGGGTGTGAGTACACCATAACGTATTGTGACTTAGAGAAGTCAGCCGTAGTTTGAATGGTCTTGCCGCATTCGTTCACTGCGGAGACAAATTAGCGGAATGATCTTGATATGACTGAGTACAATGCATTGATCCTTTTAATATGGCATGGAAAAGAAAATTAGGCTAAGTTTGCTTCTCACGACTGTAGTTAAGCCTGGCCACTGAGCACAAATTAACGTGTCGTTGATCACTTGGCAGCGCTCCATCTCACTTCAGTAAGCCCGAGTAAAATTTGCTATAATGAAACGGGTTTGGTATAATGATTGCATCGCCTCGTGTTGACTCACATCGTCAGGTATCGGCTGAGGCCAAGCAAGGACACATCAAAGTAATTATCTGGCATACCAACCTCACAGAATGCTCTCAATGCAGCGTAGTGTAGCGCGCATGACGCTAAACAATGTAGATGTGACGTATAGGTATATAATGGCACAAAACTGATTATTATAACATTATAATTTGGTTAAGATTAATATTTTCATTTACACACTGAAGTGGTGACACGAACATAAAACATAGTGAAGGGAATAGTTAGTTTTTAATGAATGAAATGAGTAATTAAATTATTTAAATGATTATTCATTTTAATTGATAATCAGAGCATGGCGAGAATAAATCAGAATTTTCTTACTATGTACACCAAATACAGACTTGAGCACAATTTCATGCTTAGGAGTTGCCATAAGGGTTTCAGATCCCCAATTAGCTTAACGTGCTATAAAAAATATAATCTATGGCAGCTGTAAAACTTGAAAAAAAAATCAACAGGGAAATCATTATTCGTTTTTTTCCTAATTAACTCTTTACTATAGATGCCGTGCGCTTTTTGGGACAATATTTTCATACCGAAAAAAAAATTCATACCGAAAAAATTTTCCAGAAATATTTTCTACTGCACGTTGCAGTTGAAAATATAATAATATCAGCAAATAAATATAATTAAACTTAATGCAGTCCCACAGAACGAGCTCGGTTAGCGAGTTTATTACCACCGGCTAGGGTAGCACAACTGAGCACATTCCAAAGCTGAAAGTATCGTGGTTGTAAGAGCTTAAGTGTTTATTACTGAGAGAACTGAACTTGTTCTGTATTTCGTGGCTAAAATAATACGAAAACGACTATCAATTATATATGGGATCGATTATCAAATAAATACTAGTGATAAATTTTACATTTGATCAATTGCAAATTATATAGTAGTAATGTGAGATAATTGAGAAGAATCATTGTGAGAGGGCTTTGGGCCATTATGCAGGTGCTATATCGGAGCGCTCATCCACAATGCCTAGAGTGTGGAGAAATCAAGGGGTCTTGACGTACATTATACTTTAGTTAAAATACCGAACACTCTGCGTAACTCATACTCACGCAGGTAGTAAGCTGAGAACATTGTTTTGACGAGGACAGGTAAGCCATATGAAGAGTCGGTGACGCAAGAAGCCAGGTCCAGATCGGATATTGCAATAGCTTTGTAGGTGCCATCGTCTTGAGGAAAGAAGTTGTGAAACACAGCTTTCCCTAGGACTGGCAAGAACAAATATATTAGTGGATTTGATGACTCATGCATTGGTGCATTTCGGTGCTAAGATCTTGGGAGGGACAAGCTGTGGTCAGCAGGGTAGGTCAATTGGTCTCTAGGAAGCTTCGTTGCTTGGAGAAAGCTGTAACCAGAACTTTGCATCAACAAATGCCAAAGAAATTACCTTAGAAATGAAGAATGCTCCTAAAAATGTCCTCAATAAGTACTTTGAGCAATATGCTTTTCATTACAATTAGAAAAAGGCATGACACTGCAGATTGAACTGCATCATAAAAGAGATCAGGGGCTCATCATAATAGAGATCAATGGCTCATCATAATAGAGATCGAGGGCGCATCAAAATAGAGATACAGGACTCATCATAATAGAGATCGAGGGCGCATCATAATAGAGATCAAGGGCTCATCATAGTAGAGATACAGGACTCATCATACTAGGGATCGAGGTTTTAACTGATGATGAAAATAGTTTTGTGTACTAATGTTTTTTATTTCAATTAAGCTCAGAGTGTCTTTTTTAACACGTTAACTCTGAAGTTGTACATATATACGTACCACGAATTATATTTCTCCAGGACGTCGTAGTACATAATTCTGGGTTTTCCGATGATCTAAAAAACGGCAGTGTCCGTGAACAAAAAAGGCCTAAAAATCAAACAACTCAATATACACTAGTATGTAGGTTAGGGTGTAAAATTTCCATTTATATTTTTGCAGATTTTAAAGTTTAATTAGGAAGTACCCCTATCATTAATTTTAGCCGACCAACGCAATTGAAAAAAAATAGATTGCAGAATTTGTCCGCAAAAAGGCTGTCTGGCAACCCTGTTTCAAAATATTAAATATAATGAAATAATGGTACATGATTAGATATGTATTATGTAATCAAATGATAGTACGGGAAAATCACTTTCCATCACAGCTTATTAGTGTCGAGGACGTTGTTTCCTATAATGATTTTATTATGGTTAGTTGAAGTTAAATAGAAAGATTATTTATGAAACTCTGATTAAAGTTTTTAATAGAAGCAAGAAGATTTAATTAAAAAACTGATGTCTCGCACGAAGATGGAAAGAATTAAGAAAATTCTGTTATGTCGACACTGCACCCTAGGCGTGACATCACCATTATACGCGGACTTGTGGCTTAACTTGAGATTCGTTTGAAAAAAAAAATTCATTCAATAATTTAACCTTGGCCAGTGTGTGCTTTAGTTCCCTGCCAACGTGATCACAGGAGTGTTGAGTGTCGCGTAACGAATCATGTTAACAAATTTGAGAAAAAAATGAGGTTTCTTAACAGCGACCAGTATTCAGATAGAGAAGGTTAGCTTGAGTCGTGAGGGAGAGGCTAGATGAATTTTGTCCTACTTGTCAAACGGTAATTGCATCACGAATTATTGACAACTTACTTTCAGTTGGCTCTATAATTTGGATCTCAATGACATCCAGGAAGACATTCACGAGCTTGTACTGCTTAAATGCGGTGTTCTCAACAGTGACGTTAACGTAGGGAGCAGCGCCTGTTGAAGTTTTTTTTTTAATATTCCATAAATAAAGGCAAGCTACTAGCGAGAAACTCGGTTAGCATGGCCAGTACACGACAATACAAAACATCCTACGTATCCTCGAATGTCCTGCTTGCCTTCTAGCCGCGCTAAATATCACGTCACTAGATAAGTAGCACTAGATAATCGCCTCAGAATTTGCCAATTTTCTGATCGTACAGTCGCACCCACTCTACCGAATGAAAGACCTGAGGACTAGGACATAAGAGGTCTGTCAAACTTGTTTTATGCGATCAATCACATTTCCAGTTTAATGAAGTACGCCAAGGCTGTACCTTTACGGTTAGAGTATCATGTCTAAAACTATTCATTGTTGTAAGATTTATAAAGATTCGTGTATGAATCCCCACTCGCTTTAATACAGAATCCCCACTCGCGTTAGTACACCACCCGTCTTGTGTCAATAATTGTTTACGTAAGCACAGAACGTGCACGAAAATATCGTAATTAGTACTGTGCTTGCCAAAACTTCTTAATAATTCAACATCACTGTAATCATCATGTGATTCCTTAATATTGCCACAATAATACCTTCTCCATAATGATATTCGAGACCAACAGCAAGCCGCTCGAGACCGTCAACAATCCGCGCTTGACCAACAGTAAGCCGCTCGACCAACATGAAGTTCCAACCCATTCATGACCAACACATAACCGCTCTGGACCATCAGAAAGTCTATCTTGACCAACATCAAGCAGCCCTCAACCAGGCCTAAAAATATTAATAATGACATTTTACTGTGTTCCTGAAGCAAACGTCAAATGTGTTGGTGCATAAAACGGAAGCTAAAGGCACCTTTGAACAGCAGACGTTCACGCGACAAGGGCGCATACGCAACCGTGCTGTTGCGCGTCCACAAGATGC